ATTTACTTGAAAATAACACTTCTTCTGTAACACTTAATATTTATTGAGCAAACTGCAAAATCTATGAAGGACATGGTTTTCCCCCTCCCCTGGAATCTATAATCTTAAAAAAATGAATCCCGGTTCAGTTTTTCACTCTCACAAGAGCTCAGCATGTCACCTGGGGGTGACAGCGCAGCCCCAGGGCCCAGCTGGGGTTCAGCCGCTGCAGGCACCTCACAAGTATCTGCTGGAAACACCTAGAAAAATCATCAGTCCAGATCCACAGCACGTGCTTCACCTGCCCTGTAAGAATAAGCATTCAGGTGAGAGTACGGCCACTACCCTACCCTTCCCAAACACACGAGAGTCTCTTCCGCATTTCCAACTGCTGTTCGCAGTCACGAAGGAGGGGAGAACACAAAAGTGTATTGAAGAAAGGTCAGGAGATCAGACCCTCTGTAATGCTGGTATTTTGTGATGAAAGAAGCATTTCTACTTATTCCTTTGATAAATCAACAAACAGAAGTTTAAGATTTAAAGACAGAAAACCCATATCCCATGTACTATTTGGTGACATCCATAAAATCTATTAAAAAAACATCTGATTCAGCTCTTTCTTGAGATGCTAGGTTTTTTTAATTTTTAATTTATTTTTTATGGGTTTTTTTTTTTCACTTTATTTCAGAAAGAGAGAGAACACAAGTGCAAGTAAGGGAGAGGGGCAGAGGGAGGGAGAGAGAGAGAGAGAGAGAGAAGAGAGGGAGGGAGAACCATAAGCAGGTTCCACATTCAGTGCAGAGTCCGATACAGGGCTCAATCCCATGACCTTGGGATCGTTACCTGAGTCAAAACCAAGAGTCAGACACTCAACCGACTGAGCCACCCAGGTGTCCTGAGGCTGAGTTTTTTAGAGGCAACCAGAAATACTGGTCAGTAGTTTACCAAGAACCAGATGTGTCTGATCTATCACTTCATCCTACCAAGGATTTTATCTACCAACAATCTATCTTCTGGAAGTGAAACATAATTTTCAAGTGATGTCAGCCTAATTAAATGTGCAAACTGAGCCAATATTGTATCTTCTGGGCAATATAACCAAAAGCCAGTTGTTCTCTTCAAAAGAACCCCCACAGAAACTCATATTCTTGCCAATAAATTATATATATTTGCTCTTTTTCCACTTTACAGCTTTTTGAGACATTTACAGATCAAATGCAAATCTGCTGACGGGTGTACACATCAGAATAATCTATTCTGACATTAACCTGACCTTGCCTAGACACAATATTCTGTGTACATGTTGGGAAAAACATCCCAATTACAATCTTCATGAGACTATATCCTCAGTACAAACATCCCTTCATTTTCTACTGGCATATTTTCAGCCAACTCAAAAAAGGCTCCCCAAATTCACCACTGACAGATTCATTAGCACATCTCCTAGTAAAGCACTTATAATTAAGAGAACAGTCCAAGCTGCTAAAGCAGCTGCAGTTTATAAGGAATACCGTAAGTGGCTAAGATCATTTCTTCTCAACTCTTTCTCATTACCCTGTTTATTTCTTTCATAGCAAAAAAAAGTGCTGTGGGTAATTAACTTGTTTATTTGTCTGCTTATTGTCTAAAATAAGTGTCTAGAGTGTCAACTGCCTAGCTGTCTTGCCCATCACAGTAGTTTCCATGCCTAGAATGATACCTGGTTCATCATCGGCACTCAATATTTGTTAAATGAATAAACATAAAAACCCAGTAAGTAATGTGCAATCCACTCATTTTTAGAATTCAGAATACGAACATCGGTACCTTGCGATAGACATGTTAATATAAAAACAAACCAGAAAATTAAGGCAAGCTGGAGATCAGTAAAAAGCTATTGCTCAGGCTATAGTTGGCTTCGATTAGGGTGCTGGTACTAGAGATGGCTAAAAGGTGGACATAGGTATTCATGCAAGAAAAATATTCAAACATATCTGTGTTCAAATACAGAAAAGCCGGGTTATATTAGCTTCTGCAATGAGCCACATTATACCTTCCCAAGCTACTTCCAATGTGGTCACCTTTACATTTTTAAAAATGGTTTCATTGTCCTAAAAATAGCTGCCAGAAAAATGGGAACATCCTTTTCAATTCAATTAAAATCAGAGTCTGGTATCATATCCATGTGAAATTGTGTGTGTGAGGTTTTCAAGAATCTTAAACCCAATTCACTACATTAGCAGTGAGTATTTTCAAAGAACTCCTTTCTCTGAATACTTATCATTTTCATTGTGAAATAAAAAGTGACCCTCAAAACAGCTCAAACACCTCTATGTAAGCTCCCTGTTCTCTGAAATATTCACTCCAGTGAATTCCTTGGGGAGGACCGACCTCACAAATTCTAGGGAAGAGCTTTTTACTCACTTGCTGCCATGTCAGTTTCAGCCTCTCATACTGCTCCTTGCCATCTTCTGAGCAATCGGAACAAGTGAATCTAAAAAAATTATCACCCTTAAGGTAACTGAGCTGTTCCCTCAGCTGACCTAGGAGAAAAACAAAAAGGCACATCATAGGTTTATCTAGAGCAGCACTTATCAGTTTATCAACCAGATTTTCCACGCTTCCTGTGTTTTTTCCTCTTTTTCAGCCAACCCATGATAGCAGGATGGGAACAGGAAAAAAAGAAGAAAAGTGTATGCCTGTTAAGTATATGCCTCCTAACTTTTAGAAGAAACATACTGGAAAATTGAGTTTTTATTGCTCTCATTTGATTTTCCAACTGTTAACATTCCTGACTCCTATGGGTCTCTACACACACTTTCGAGAAATAGCTGAGTTCCCACTGAGTGCTAGGCACTGGCCTAGGAACCGGAACACAGTGCCCAGAGTCTGCTCTTGGCATTTTATAAATTTTGAGGGCCATATACAAGGAAACATGTAATCATAATGGCACAATGATTCTCCATCCTCACTGTACATCAGAATCACCCAGGGAGTGGTTTTGTCTTTTTAAGAGATGCCTGGGCCTACCCACACAGGATGAATAAATCTCTAAAAGGGCAGGATCTGGGTCTCTCCATTTTCGAATGCTCCCCAGGGATGTCCGTGCTCTGGCAGACAGGACAACCACTGGAATGGAATGCGGTGTGTGCCATAGGGCAATGCAAGAGTACATAAAAGGGAGGCCTGACCCATGTTAGGAAGATGGGAAAGCTAGAAAAAGTGGGGTTGACGGGGACCTGAAGGAGGACTACAATTGCCCAGGTGAGGAGGGTGCCTATGTGTATGGCAGAAGCCCATGGAGGCTACAGAGACACATATTCCAGAGAGGAAATTAAAATGTGCAGAGACCTTGGTATAAGAATTTTTTTGTGGAGGATTAAAAGCTCACCCTAACTGCAAAGTTCTGGTTGTGTAGGGAAAGGATGCTGAGGAGAGACACTGAGGAAGTTAGCACGGACAGTGGTGGTGAAGGACAGTTTAAAATGTATCCTTAGAGGACAAGGTCGATTGCCAGAGATTTTTCTGGCAGGGCCCTGAATCAAAAAGCAGAAAGAGCTCAGAAGCAAACACTAGCTAATGCATAGAAAGCTCTAGATTGTTTCCCATGAAAATGTTTCTATTAATGTATTAACAGTAACTATTAATCTGAATAGTTAAATCCATCTTCAGCACATTTCCACATACCAGAAACTGACCCACTTCAGCTGCATTTTCTTTGACCTAGTTACAAAGCCCATTACACAAAGAATTCCTCTGGTACCCATGTCTTTCCTAGTCTCTGCCTAATGGGAAAATCCTGTTTTGGTAAGACTCACGTCGGCTGGGAAAGCATGCTCCTTGAGAGCCAGGAAGCTGGCAGATGAAAAGATTAGTTGAAAGAGCGAGGTATCAGGGGAGCATGTGTGTATGTATCTCCTGCCAGCAGATCTAGAAGGTCAGCTAGCAGAAAACAAGAATGGTCCCAGAATAAAAGCACAAAATATTTTTAATCCGCTAATTCTGACTTACTTCAGCATACAACAGCAGTTTTCCATGGAAGTTAAATATTAACAGGGTAGCTTGACCTTTCATTCTATACTGGGCCTAGTACTGGGCCCTAAATCGGTAACACGATCTTGTTAGAACAATGTGACTAATTCTTTAAATAACACAGAATTTCCAACTTTCTTTTATTGGTTTGCCATTCAGAACGTTACCTTAACAATGTGAGAGGTTGACAGTAATTTTTATTAGCACAAACGTGTCTATATTTTTTATATATCTGTCATTAACCAACTAAACTAATCATAAATATAATAATTATCTTTTTATTTAGGTCCATTTTACAGTCATGTTTTGTTCACAGGTTAGAAAAACAAACCTTCACATAGTAACTGACAAATCAAAGGAATTGAGAAGCTCCTTACTGGCCGGTATCCATTTTTGGCACTTGTCACAGAAGTAGGACAGCTGCTCCTCCATCCAGGACACATCTCCTTCGTCACTGTTGAGGGAATCCCCACTCTGATCGTGAGATAAGTCCACAGATGCCTGGTCCTCCGACTCAACGATCAGGAGAGTCTCCCCCTCCACCTCCCCCTCCTCCAGCCCTTCTGAGGTAGATGTTCTCGTGGCTTCATCATCATGCCGGCTTATCAAACTACTCAGGTGGATGCTACTATCCATCCTTTCCCCTCACAGGCTCTCAAGTGTTTTTCACGAACAATCCTACGCTCTGACACCAGGCTTCACGGGGCTTCTATCAGGATCACACAGACAGACAGACTCTTCATAAGAGTGTCTGCCCACTTCTTCACTCAGATAGCAGGGACTTTTAATGCAATAATTTAGAATATATGAGCCACTGTCCTTGTCTTTGGTCAGGTTTGAAAGGACAGTGACCAAAAAAGGGGTGAACACCTCACAAAGCTATCCTCCAACCACACTCACACACCCACACTTGACACTGTCCCATCAACATTTGACATCCACTTCAAGTCATGTTTTTTGAGATCCTTTTGCCAATAACATCTTCTCTCTTTCTGCTTCAAGTTGCTCAGTCAAAATAATCTGTTCTCCCAAGAGACGAATGTTTTCTTTTTTCCGATTCTGCCTCTCAATGTCTCTGATCACTCCATCGTGAAGCCTCTAAAAACGCAAGAAACAGATTTCAGTAACGCCCTGAACAGGTGGTCCCCTTCCTTGTGCCATTCAGTCTGAATAACAGTGCTACCAAAATACACTGAAATCTCTCTAGACTCCAAATACCTAATTACTATTTCAGCTTGCTGTGTAAATGTAAAATGTAACAAGCCATCAGATTAATTTGGTAGTGTGCTCCACCAGCGTTCTACTAAAAATTACTTCTTACCATATTTTAAGAAATTCCTGAACATTCAGTATAGAAAACCTGTTTCTGTGGTGCATTTCAAAAGTTTAATTGATATACAATGCTTTAAAAGATCTGGTGAGAATTACTACAGTAACTCTATGAACTACTTTCCTGTTAGCAATTATCCTAGCTGAATAATAAATACCAAAGGAAAAAAGATTACTGAAATTTGAACTGTCAGGAAAGAAAATAAAGATCTTAGTTTTTTTCTACTGCACAGAGAAGTAAAAATTGTACAGAACTACTAATCAATCACATGACTGAGAGAGGCAGGAAAAATACAATGCTACTACCAGAGGAAAAACTAAAGGTGGTAGTTACTTTGAAAAGCACTACAGAGAGGTAGAAAATTCCAGAACATGGTCTTGGCACCTAAGATGAGACTTTTTAAAGCATAAACTAGTCATTACTAATAACTGCCATTTTATAGTTGTTAGGTCCCAAAATACCGATTTTATTTTCAACAGTGACCTTGTAAGGTAGAATGAATGGGGGTGGGGCCCAGGGCCTGTGGTTTTTCCTTTGTAATTATTAGGTCTATTTTATTTTTATTATTATTTTTATGTAGGCTCCATGCCCAGCATGGACTTGGACTCACAACCCCAAGATCAAATCCTGAGCTGAGATCAAGAGTCACACGCTCAACCAACTGAGCTACTGAGGTGCCCCTATTATGCCTATTTTAAAAACTCACCACATACCGACCAGATCTCCTCCAGGCCTAGAGTTTCATTTGCTATTATGGAGGATTTGGGAAATGTAAGAGTCCTGATACAGATAATACAACTGAAAACCATCTTTTGTGAACCCTGCTCCTTGGCCAGATCTCTGGAGACATTTGACTCCTCCTCCCCAACCCCAGTTCTTTCCTCCTGTGCTCCCTGTACCATGCCACACTCACCCATACACCCCACCCCATCCCCAAATCCCACACCATCCACTGAATCATTCTTTCCACACCTGCCTCTGAGATCTTCCATACCTGACCTTCCTTTCTCAGACTTCAGCACATGGCTTAGGAGCTTGCTCTCCTGCCACCATCCACTACATTCTTCCAAGTTTCAGTGTATGCTGACCACCTGTGACTTCTATGTAACTATCTTCCTAATCGCCTCTCTTCCTAACCACCAAGACCTCTTCACCATTATTCATGTAGTATAACTCGTTCCGCTGGGTTCCTATGAGGATTCATGTCAGTGCCTGGCACGTGGTAAACAGTCAAGACATGAGAGAAAACAATAGTGATTATTTTATTTCTTCTTCCTTCCTTGAACCTTCCAACAGACCCACTGTGACAATCATTTGTCTTCCTAGTGTAAAAACGTCCGCACAATGAATGACTGGATGCAAAATAAACACAGGTTACTCTGGTCAAGCTTTTCTTCATCTAACTTCCAAATCTTTGTTCTTCTACTCTCTAGTACAGAGATACTCAACCCTGGCTGCATGTTAGAATTCCCTGGGTAGCTTTTAAAACATATGTGAGCAAGAGTCCCCATATTCAAGAGATTCTGATTTAAGAGGTGCGGAGTAAGTTATATTGTAAAAGCTTCCCAGGAACTTGCAATGCGGAGTTAGTTCAGAACCAAGCTCTCATGCATCCCCACCCCCATACTCTTTGAAAATCTCTGCCTTCACTGACCTCAGAACTACATCTAACGCACATTGTTCTACTCCTCTCAAATTTCTTTTGATCACCCTCTTTTCCTTTCACTTCTTAGAAGAGAAACTTGCCTGCCTCTACTCCAAAAGCTACGCCCTCAGAACCCATACTTTGTTCCCAAATCTCTAACCTCTTTCATACCCTGTCATTATTTATCCCAATACCCCCTCCCCCAAATTCTTATACCATTACACCTTTCTGATTTCCAAACTGTGAACAATGAGGAAAACGACCTCATCGGCTTCATCTCTGTGTACCAAGCACACTAGAGAGCCCAATACAAGAAAAGACCATTTTACTATTGATTCATCCAGTTTATTACTTTCACTCTTGGCAGAACTTCCACCCTAAGCTCAACCCTAAAACACGCGCTGACCTACTTGCCTGTTCTCACACTTAACGTTCAGCACTGGTGTGAAGCAGTTATAAACTCAGGAACGCCTGTCCTTCCTTATCTTTGTTTCCCAAAGCGCCTAGTGTGCTGCCTGGCACACACAGACCAATCACTAAACATCTGCCAACGAGTGTGTCTCAGTTCATATAAAGAGTATATGAACTGAGACACACAGAATAGGCCATCAGTCAACCGATCCGTAAGTCATGGGTAGAAGAACAGAAAAAAGAAAATTTGGAGGCTGGTATCTCTAATTCACAGAATCTCATTTTCACAGCAAACTATTCCTTAAAAGAAAGAAGGGGGTGGGGGAAGCATCCACTAAATTACCTTGGCTAAAGGCACGGAAAGTGGATTCGGGGCAGCTTCCTTAATCCCAGGATAAAATCTCATTAGCACTGGAAATGAAATCCATTAGGGTTGGGCCTCAACCTTGGGCCTGGGGTCGGGGAGAGGCCGACAACTTGCTGAGTGCACCCCACGAAAACCCCTTCCCCGCCTCTAACTTTGCAGCGGCCCAAGCGAGACGCTGCAAAGTCCGTGTCACTGCAGGCTGGCGGTGACCTGGGAAGCAGGCCCCCCGCCACCCTGCGGGCCTGCCTTAGCTGGAGCCAGAGGGCGGCGGCACGGGGGGCAGGGGCGTCCCCGCGCCGGACTGGACGGGGTCGCCGGGGCCTCCTGGTGCACGCGGTCGCGGTGGCTGCGGCGCCCCGGCCGGGAGAACGGCGTCTGGGCCGCAGTCGCGAGAGCTGGGTGATCGAGGGGTGGGTGGGACGCAGGGTCGCGCCGCCGCGAAGCCGACAAGAGGGAAAGGCGAGGTGCAACGGAGACCCACACGGAGAAAGACCAGACGGCCCGAGGTCGTCCTCGCGGCCGCGCGGGCCCCGGAAGAGGCGGTCACGTGACACCGACCTGCCGGTCTTGCAGCTGCTTCAGATGCACGCCGGCCACGGTGGCCGCCGTCAGCACCACCGACAGGCCTAGCACCACCTTCGAGCTCCTCGACATCCCCGCGCCGACCGCCGCGGCCTCCGCCTACCCGCCCGGGGCCCCAGGGCCGCAGCCGAACGCGACACGGAGGCTGCGGGTCAGACTCGACCACTCGAGCGCAGAGCCCCCGCAGCCGGTGCACCGCCCGCCGCGCCAGGCGCTAGCAATCGAGAGCCGAGCTCTGAACCGCGTCCCTGCTCTGCGGAGGCGTGGTTGCGGGTGCTTTTCCTCCCATCCCGGGCCCTTCACACACACATAATATCTGTCCCCTCTGAACGCGATGCTGGCCCGGATCCTTTGCTCAATACCAGCCTTACTAATCGCAGCTTCTCTGGCACTTTGCGGGGTAGGTGCCACCAGAGATTGAGTTTTTGCTTGTAGATCCATAATTAAATGTTGTAGACACGGTCACCTGTTTTCATCTAAATGCTGTGAGCTAGCTGGTCAGGCTCTGATTTTTCTTAAAACCGAAAAGCCGTCTGGCTAAAGGGCATGCTAAATGGGCAGCGACCCCTCATTCATTGCCTCTTGGTAAGAAAAGCCCTGGTCAACTTGTTTTCCGTGTAATTCCTAAGAGATCACCTTTATACCTTTGGAGCCTCAGTTCCCGCACTTATAAGACAGGATTCCTGATTCCCACATTACTAGAAAAATGAATGAATCAATGAATGACAGAATGTATAAGGCATTATGCACAGCATCATTTTCACTTTTGCTTATGGTAGAAAGAAATTTGGCTTTCCAGAAACTGTAAAGTGTCTGATAGAGAAGGCACTGAAGAGGTTTTCCCATTAAGTCATTCTTTCCCACGGGAATTCACAGGGAGCAAGCTTTCTTCCTGTGGAAACAACTATGGCCAGTATTGATTAAGACCAGGTCTTGGTTGGCATCACCTAAGGGCTTCTCCAACATTCGTTACTGTAGTGCTTTGCTATTCCCGTTTGTTATTTAGTGTAAATGGCATGAGATGATTATTGCTCTTAAGAAATGTAATTTTAAAAAATTGAATACTCTTTTCAAACCACAGTTTGTCCATGGCATTTTTCTCAGCCAGACGAGGATATACCACTGAATTGAAAAACCGAGTTCCTGCCCTAATAGACTGTGGAGTTAGAAGCACTTCAATTCAAGGTATATTTGTATACTTTTCTAATAGAAAAAGAAAAAACAATATTAGACTGCTTTTTTACTTCATGACCTGAGCCAAAGTCGGACGCTTAACCGACTGAACCACCCAGGTGTCCCTGTATACTTTTCTAACAGAAAAGAATAAACAGCGTTAGACTGCTTTTTTACTTGTGGTGGACTCCAGATATTTTTCTCTGTAAGTACATGAGCCTTCAGTAGAGCTACATGTCTAGAATTTGTCAGTTAGATGGCCTTTCACTCCATTGTAACTAATTTTTCAACTTGTCTTCTTGAAATGTATTTTTGTTCTACTTTTTAAAAAATCCTTTATGGGTTAACAGTGTCAAATTTAAAGGTGGTTTATCTGTTTAAAAATTTATGAACTTCAGCAGGGTGTTTTGTGTGATTATTGCCACATAAATGACTGGGATGGAAGGGAATGAGTGCAGACTCCTGTAGCCAATAATCACAATAAAAAAGACAAGAGGTGCCTATATGGCTCAGCCTGTTGAGTGAGCGTTCAACTCTTGATTTCTGCTCAGGTCATGATCTCATGTGAGATGGAGCCCTGCATGTGGCTCTGCGCTGACAAGGTGGAACATGCTTGCAATTCTCTCTCTCCCTCTCTCTCCTCTCCTCCCCCACCTTCTCAAAAATAAATAAATATTTTTTAAAAATATTTTTATTTATTTCTAGGAGAGAGAGACAGCGTGAGCAGGGGAGGGTCAGAGAGAGAGGGAGTCACAGACTGAAACAGGCTCCAGGCTCTGAGCTGGCAGTCAGCACAGAGCCTGACGCGGGGCTCGAACCCACGAACCGCGAGATCATGACCTAAGTGAGAGTCTGACGCTTAACCGACTAAGCCACCCAGGCGCCCCAAAAATAAATAAATATTTTAAAAAGACAGGGAGATAGTTGGCAATTGTTATGGCCCACATGTTTATATCCCCCCTAAAACTCTTATGTTGAAATTCCAACCCTCTAGTGGAGTGTATAGGAGATGGGGCCTTTGGGAGGTAGTTAGATTTAGATAAGCTCATAAGGGTGAAGCCCCCAGGCTGGATTAGTGTTCTCTTAAGAAGAGCAAGAGAATAAGAGCTTGCTCTCCACCATGTCAGGACATAGCAAGAAGACAGCTATCTGCAAACCAGGAAGAGGGCCCTCACTAGAACCCAACCAGGCCAGTACCCTAATCTCAGACTTCCCAGCCTTGGGAATGAGGAGCCCGTCTTGGGGCTTGATCTCATGACTGTGAGATCATGACCTGAGCCAAAATCAAAAGTCTGACTGAGTCACCCAAGCACCTCTAGAAACAACTTTTATTTGTAAATTATGCCTCAGTAAAGTTAGGGAAAAAATTATAGGAAAAAGTTTTAAAGCACCAAGAAGAAAAAATAAATTATACTTGCACACATATGCATGCTCAACGAAATAAAAGGAAGTAGCGATACATACTACAACATGGATGAAATCTGAAACCTTGAAAACGTGATGCTAAAGAAAGAAGCTAGTCACAAAAGACCAGGTATCATATGATTCCATTTATATAAAGTGTCCAGAATAGGCCAATTCATAGAGGCAGAAAGTAGATTACTGTTTGCCAAAGGCTTGGGATTTGGGAGATGCAGAGTGACTGCTAATGAGTTTCTTTTGGGAGATAATGAAAATGTTCTAGAATTAGATCATGGTGACAAGCGCACAATTCTGTGACTCTACTAAACCCTGCTGAACTGGGCTCTTTAAAAAGGTAAATTTTATGGTACATTACTTATTTCAATAAAGCTGTTAAAGAAAGTGGGGGGGGGGAAGCTGTTCATGTGTATCAACCCATCTCATCTTCACAATTACCCTACAAAATAGGTGCTGTCCGTGTCCCTATTTTATCAGTGAGGAAACTGAGGCACGGTGTTAGATAACTTACCCAGAGCCCACAGCCAGAAAGTTACAGAGCAACCCAATTGGTTTTTGGTTTTGTTTTCAAAAACATAAAAGATTAAATTTGCCTGGTTTAAAGCTTAAAACAGAGAACATGTATCTTCTGATAGATACAAGGAGAACGTGTGTATCCAGAATCTTCTAATCCCATATTTAGCTACTTTTAAAAAATGGGAGGAGGGGTGCCTGGGTGGCTCAGTGGGTTAAGTGTCTGACTCTTGATTTTGGCTCAGGTCATGAGCTCACATGAGATGGAGCCCTGAGTGGGCCTCTGCACTGGCAGCTTGGAGCCTGTTGGGATTTTCTCTCTCCTCCCTCTCTGCCCCTCCCCCTCCATGCGTGCACGTTCTCTCTCAAAATAAATAAATAAACATATTTTTTAAAAATGGGAGGAGAGTAGGCAAGAGAGGGAAGAGAGGAAAGGGGGGAAGACAGGACAAGACGCCCAATGGAAGAGGGGAGAGAGAGAGAAACAGCAGAGAAACCCACAGGAACCCTCAGCAGGTTCTGAGATAATAACATTCGCCGTTGGAATGCTGTTTTTGGGTCTTCCGCTCCTCGCTTCCATAGGGAAGCCTGGCAGCCCTCCAGCAGGGTATTGTTTTCAGAAGATGGCCTCTATGGGTGCCTGGGTGGCTCAGTCATTTAAGCATTGGACTTTGGCTCAGGTCATGATCTCACTGTTTGAGTTGGAGCCCCACCTCAGGCTCTGTGCTGACAGCTCAGAGCCTGGAGCCTGCTTCAGATTCTGTGTCTCCCTGTCTCTCTGCCCCTCCCCTGCTCACACTGTCTGTCTCTGTCTCTCAAAAATAAATAAACTCTAAAAAAAAAAAAAAAAAAAAAGATGGCTTCTGTGAACAAGGCTCTGCAGCAGCATACAAGGTGCAAAGCAAGGATTCTGGCTTTCCCCAGAGGACAATCCCCTACCTTTTGGGGCCTCAGTTTCCTCCTCTGTACTGTGGGGACAGTGATATGTCTGCTACCTCCTTGGCTTTCTGGTTGAGACAATGAATTAGTATCATGACAGCACCAAAGTCACCCATCTGGTGATAATGCATGTGGGCGCATCCCAGCCAGTGAGCCTTAAGATGGGAACCCTTCTGCCCAGGAGGGCGGGGGAGGGCTCCTGTCACTGCTGCTGTGGGGAGTGACCCTGGATCCTTGCTTTGCATATTTAGGAAATGTCTCCTTTTTGGCAGCTGAGTGCGCCTTTTGGTGACATCTTAGCCAGTGGCAGCAGCATGGCCTCTCAGCAAGCTGGCCCAAACCATGGATTACTTTCATAGTTTCCAAATACTTGGTGTGACTGATTTCTTTTGGATTCACAATCTGGTCACATTATCAGAAAAAAAAAAAATGTCACCATTGCTGTTGTTAATGGGAGGAGAGAGCTATTAGAGCCCTTGAATATAATTGCAACTGCTATATATTTATAAATCATTATTTTTAAAAAAATTCTGGCTTTGACAGACACTATCACGTGTCGGCAGAGGCATTGAACAGCTGGAACACTGTGCTCCTGGAGCTGGAACAAGTTCAGCTGTATCTGCTGGAGCTGGACAGGCGTGAGCTCCGTGACCCAGCAGCTTCACCCCCAGATGTTTCCCAGCAGAACTGCTTACGTGTGCACCGAAACACAGGTGCAAGTATATCTATATAAATCACACTTCCAGAAGTCAACATGGTGGCTCCCCTATTGGGAGGGCAGAGGCACTATTTGCTGTGAGAAGGCATGAATGAGGCTTCTGGGATGCTGGTCTCATTCTGTTTCTTAATCCAGTTGCTGGTATTGAGTGTTCATGAAAATCAATCAAGTGACACGCAGATTTTATTATATGCAAGACCTACTTCTT